TTTACAAAACAGAACTAGCTGCCAGCTATTTTACCAGGCAGTAGCTTTTGACCAACCAGTGGTTAAACCCCAACTGAAGACACCTATGTTGGTTGTATTGGCTTTTTGTATTTGTCAAACTTCCTAGAAGAGCAAGGGCAACCATGGGTGAAGCAAGGAAGAATCATGAAGGAGGATAAAAGTGAGAAAGTAACATAACAGCCAGCTGGGCTTCAGCTTATTTCCACTAGACCTAAATGCAAGCTTCTAGGATTGTAAATAGGTCTAAAAACTTGTTGCCAGATCCTAAAATGTATTGTATACAGAAAGAATTGAGTATAAAATGAACAAGGTGGCTTTATCTCATTTTAGATGGGACAAACCTTTAGAGTGAAAGAGAGAGAAAAACATACTTGAAAAAAAATGGAGTGAAAAAAAGAGATAAGGGGACAAAAAAAAAAGGAATCCAAGGCACACTTACCGCTGTAACCTTGGACTTTATGCTTTGCCAGAAGGTTTTAACATCATAAATGTTGTTGATGGACAAAGTGTTCCACACTCGGATCATGCTGTCCCCAACCCCGATGGCGAGGCAGCCCGTGTCCACGGGGGAGAAGGCAAGGCTGTAGACAAACCCTCCAAGGGAGGGCATGGTCCAGCTGCAGTCCAGAGTTGATAGATCCCAACATTTCACCTGAAGAATATTTGAGGAACAAGGAATGTTCTGTTAAATACAGAGTGATTGACAAGACACGGAAATCAAAGAGTCAAATGCAAGGCTTGGCAGGATGTGATCTGCACCCAGAGGATTCCATGGCACAGGGCTGCAGTAGCTGCAAGACTGGAATGGACATAATGAATATATTTTACTAAGTTTCTCTTCCAATTTCAAAATAGGAAACACTCTGCTGCCTGTAAAAGACCAAAGATTTAAAAAAAAGGCCCACTAAAAAATAGGTGCATTAATTTGTACAATTAAATGAATTTAAGAAGGAAAACCAAGCCTTTTAAAAGTGAAATATAGAAGAAGTGTAAAACTCCTTTCATTAAATGCTTACAATTCAAGTCCAGAATGTCATAAGCATTCACTCATGTAGTAAGAGATTAAGTTTATAAACTAACAGAAACATACCCAACCTGTGCTCAGAACAAACGGCAAGAAGTGATGTTATAAAGTGCTAAAATAAACCCACTTCTAGAGAAAAACTGGCCCTAAAAGGGTTAGTCTCACTCACTCAAGCTGCATTGTAGAGGCATTCCTATGCTAATTTTTAAATGGTTCTTACATCTCTGTCCATTGAAATGGAAAAAAGGAGCTCTCTGTCTTGGTGCTTCACAGAACTGAGATTGAACACAATTCTGGAGTGGTTTTGTCCTTCTGAAGATCCCAGAAGAGTCCACTTGCGTTTGCCAGGCTGGGTCAAATTCCAAAAGAGCAGCTCTCCTCTGCAAAATTGAAATTTATTTAAATTTTTCACTTCAGAAGAACAACACAGGCCCTATATAAACTATATACTGCAAGTATACAGGAGTAATAAATTCTAAAAGCTACACACCCAAACTCCACCTGAAAACTGCCATTTTTTCCCAGTAGATGGGCAAAACCACAATTAGTGCTATTGGCAGTCAATACTCAGATTGTTAGACAAATTATGGGACAAATAGTGATTTTCTCCAGATCTGAACTCTAACTCTTGGCCTGTTTTCTCCTCTAACGCTGGAAAGGAAGGAAGAAGGGCATGTCTTTAGTACTCAGCTCTTCCTTCAGTAGGAACAACTGAGTCTGCAGCTGCTGCTGGCTGCCCCACTTACCCAAAGCCACTGGACACGATGTCTGAGGGGTGGCCAACAGGCCAGTGGACAGTGAGCCAGATGCGCTCCTTGACCGCCGGGTCCACGGCTCCACCTCTCCTCTTGGTGGGTGGCAGCTTCAGAGTCATCACACCTGCAGGACCAGGAGGCACCACATCCAAATTCTCAAACAGACAGAGGAGTCCTGGGAGTATGCAGCTTTAATTGCATTCCCCATGCTTTCAGCACAAACAAAGGTTGAAGTGAGTTTTCCAAAATAATCAGCTTTAGGCAGACACTTGACATGGAAAATTTCAGCCTAAACTGTCTTGAGTTCAACAACATTATAAAGCAAGGAAAAGAAAAGCAAGATCTTATCATGGGAATATGGGAGGCAGCCAGATGGTGCTCCCAATCCTACCTGTGACAGCTGATATCCTTATTATCTATCTTACCAGTGGTTATCAAATAATTTCCATGATAATGCATTAACCTCATAAAATATTGGTATTCTGGACCACAGTCTTCCATGCTTAGAATCTGGCCAAAGGCAATTTGTAGTTCAGGAGCTATTCCACATCTTGTTAGTGTTTATCTCTTACTTACTCCTGCCTCTGGTAGAGCTCCATATTCGTATGGTTTGATCCTTGCTTCCAGAGGCCAGGTAACAACCTTTCCTCGTGGCTGTGTCCTGTGTCAGCTCCCCATTTGGAACCTTGCCTTCTTCTGAAGGAACTGCTGAATAGCATTGAAGTCATGTTATTATGCTTTAAAAATCAAAGTGTCATAAAAATGAGCTGAAAATTACATTGATTTATATCAGAACATATTTTATTGAACTTATCAGTTGCTTAGCTAATTACTAACATTCTGTAAAAAATTCAGTCCTCTAGAAGGACACTTACATGAACTAAAAAATACTCCACAAGTTGTTAATCATGTTCACATACCCTGAAGCTCATTCTGCCAAGCAGGTAACCTCTCTTCCCCAGGCACAGGGCACCAGGCCAGACAATGGATTTCATCCTCATGGCCCCTCAGCCGGTGCACAACTTCTCTCTTCCTGCTGATATCAATTATCACCACCATGCCATCCTTGTAGCTGAAAGCAGAGATGTAAATTAATGAAGAGATTCTTGGATGCTTGTGGAATAATATCCAAGGTGATTTTCAGGCTCTTTCCAGGGTCACTATCACCCTATTACAGAGAAGCCAGGCTGGACCATTACATTTTCACAGATTTCTTTGCCTTTGCAGGTTTTTTAATCTAAAAGTTATTTCTAATTTGTTTTACTCCAAAACTAAAAGAACATCCACCAAGACCTCTTAAAATTTACCTTTCAGCCATGTAGCAAAACCTCACAATTAAATTGTTGCAGAAGAGTAGAAAACAAGACATAAGGAAAAAAAAACATTAAGTAATGAGCATTTACCCAATGGCCACCAGGTTTTCATGATGAGGAGAACAGGTGAGGCAGAAAACTGTCCTGGGCTCTGGGAAGAACTGCTGGCTGTCACTTCTGTTGTACCAGTAACAAACAATGACACCTTTCTCATCACCAGACACAATCAGATCTTTCACAAGAGGGGACCAGTGAAGTGCTGAGATGGCATTCTGAAGAAAGAGCATTGGGAAGGTTTAAAGGTGTTTTACTTCACTCAACACAGAGAAACAGGACGTCATCTGTGAGTAGTGCCCAGCAGCACTGTGCTGTGTCCCTGAGTGCCTCTGTTCTTCCAGGTTTTAGAGATGGATGTAGCTGCTGATGGGCACCCCTGAGCTGCAGGAGCTCTTTAAATACACATTTAGTCTGTCCTGTGGCCGCAGCAATTTACTGAGATCACTTTAGGTGAGCTGGGACTGCTAACAAATGCACCTCGAGCTGTTTATTTTCCAGCATCAGCTTCATTACATGGATATGACAATGGGAAGATGCCAGCAGCTCACATCCCAGGCAGCAGACCAAGAACTCAATGTTACAACTTAATTTAAAAGCCTTTTGACCACTCACACAGAGCAAAAGCATACTGACAGTAGTTCTATACAACCACTATAAGCACACATACCATTGGTTAAAACAATGCTTGCTTATTTTGAATACAATACCTACTTGTAAGCCTTAAGATACAATGCACAGAGCTCCATTATTAAGCTTAGAACTTCCTAATATCCCGTTAAATATACTTTTCTATAACTTAGGGAGTTATTCTAGCCAAGTGTTAATACACTTACCATTGTTCTATTTGTCCTTACTTTCTACTTCTTGTATAATTTTTCTGCTCACAAATCTTATGTCTACTGCTTAGCTAAAATCGCAGCTCTGCTGCCTCTGAGGCCTGACTTTTGCAACTTATCCAAAACCAGTACAATTTGTGGGAATTTTCAGAATCCCCACAGGGTTAAAAGGCAGTGAGCCCAAAGCACGGGCTGTGCTGGCAAGCAGCAGCGAACGACGGGGATGAGCAGCGCCGCAGGCTACGAACAAAGAGGCGGCCAGGAGCGCCAAACAGGTTCCATCACACCTGCGTGAAGCTCCCTTCTGGGCAAAGCAGCCTCGCCGTGCTCCGAGTGCGAGCCCTGTGTCCCGTGTCCTGTATCCCCGTGCCCGTGTCCTGTGTCCCGTGTCCTCTGTCCCCGTGCCCGTGTCCTGTGTCCCGTGTCCCCACCTGGTGCAGGCTGTACTCCAGCACCGGCGACAGGGTCCCGCTGTCCCAGACCTTGACGCTGCCGTCATCCGAGCTGCTGGCGCAGAGGCTGCTCTGCCCGGGGCAGTGGCAGAAGGCGAAGCCGGAGATCCTGTCCGTGTGCCCGATGAGCTCCCCTGGCAGCGAGGGCGAGGAGCAATCGTCACGGGGCACCCGGGGCCTGCCCACACTCCCGCATCCCGCCCGCCCACCCCGGTTCCCGCTGGCGGGGAGGCCCCGCAGCCCCTGCGGGCGCGGGGCCCGGGGAGGCTGTGACGGTACCGTGGAACGCGGGCGCGGCGGCGGCGGCCACATCCAGCAGGCAGACGCGGTGCCTCGCCGCGAAGCCGAAGAGGCGGCCGTCACTGCTGGCATCGCTGCAGCGGCTGCTGTACCAGTTGGGGGAGGCGGGGAGCGCCCGCACTCCCATCCCCGTCCCCGTCCCCGTCCCCGCCGCCATGGGCCCCGCTCCCCTCCGGCCGCCCCTCGTGCTCCGGGCGCTGCCGCCAAGCGCCGCGCACGCCGCCGCAAAGTGTCGCAAGCCGCGCCCCTGCCGCCAAGCGAGGCCGGGGAGATGGCGGCGCGCTGGGCGCTGGGCGCGGGTGAGGCGGAGGGGACGCGGCGCCGCTCCGGGACGGTCTCGCTGCAGACGAGGCCGCCGGGTTGAGCGGAGGGATGGAGCAGCTTTCGTGTGAGGAAAGGCTGGGAGAATTGGGGTTGTTCAGCTTGGAGAAGAGAGGCTTGGGGGTGACCAAGTTGCAGCCTTACAGTGTGTGAAGGGAGCGTGCAGGAGCGATGGAGTGGGATATTTACAGCGCCTGGGGTGACGGGATGAGGGGGATGGCTTCAAACTGGCAGCGAGTAGGTTTAGGTTAGATATTATGAACAAATTGTTCCCTGTGAGGGTGCTGAGGCCCTGGCACGAGTTTCCCAGAGCAGCTGGGGCTGCCCCTGGAACTCTCCAAGTGCCCAGGGCCAGGCTGGATGGGAGAGCTGGCCCTGCCATGGCACGGGGTGCAACTGGGTGGTCTTCAAGGTCTCTTCCAGCCCAAACCATACTGTGGTTTTACCATTCTGTTCATGCCTCCTTCACTTTCCCTTCCCTTCAGGTGCTGCCTGGGCACGAGGTCTCCTCAGCTGGGCACGGCCAGAGAGGTGAGTCTGGCTCTGTCACCCTGGCAGTGGGACTGGCATTGCCCTGCTTGGCTGCCTGGGGCTGGGCTCTGGGGTCCCCTGGCTTGGCCATCCCACCCAGCCCTGGAGCTGTAGGAACTCTGTCCCTGTGCCATGTTTCTGTGTATTCAGAGCTTGTGCCACGATGGAGGTGTCTCTCTCCTTGCTTCTTTCTGTTGGACATCCCTATTCTCTCTGACTGCATAGTTCAGGTCACAGTAATGTGATATCTGTGCTGTTCCCAGTCACTGCTTTCCTCACTTGCTGAAGTTTCCCCTCATTCTGGAGGAACCCCATAGTTGTGCTGTAGGAGCACTGGAATTGCCAGCTGCATCCCTGCAAATACCTGAAGAAATATTCCATGACATTGAAATATGTGTGTTGTGCTAATTTCTGCTCACATATTATTGTGAACAATGCTGTACACTGCCCTTTTGGCATACTCTGTTTGCCTGTTGTTTTTAAGATGCTTTGCACACGGCCACACACACCAAGACATTCAAGGCTCAGTAAAACTCACAGTGTTTAGTCTGGAACTCTTCTGTTTCTTGTAGTCACCAGTGGCTGCCCACTGCTGCTTTGTCCAGGCAGCAGGGGGCAAAATGTAGCTCAGTTTTTCAGAATCTGAGCTGAGCAAACTGCCTGGAAATTGATTTATTGCTATCAGCTCCCTGGTTTTTGGATTGACGTAATTGTGCTTCGGAAGTAGTTTAGAACACCTCTCTTCTCAAATGTCACAATGTTTATAAACCTCTAATGCTCTGAGATACAGAGCCCTGTGAAAAGCTAGAAATTTTCACTGCTAAATATGTTGTTGGTAAAAGTTAAATAAGTATGGAAAGTACCTTGGGAAAGGTAAAAATGGTTTGTGAGAGTTCTGAACCCCACAAGAGCATCAGAACAGAGGTGGCTGTGACTTTGTGTGACAGTCTGAGGACACTTCATGTGGAATCTCACACCAACATTCATGGTTTCCTTTAAGAAGCTTGAGTCTTCTTGCTGAATTAAAAAGCCTTTCCAGCATAAACTATAAAGGATTTAATAGTTTGGTTTTTTGAGAATACAAATGTGCTGGTTCTCTTTTTCAAGACAGCAGGTTCACAGTTTTCCAGATAAACTGGGCAGGGACAAAGAACCCTTGTGTTCAGCAGCTGAGACTGTGGTCTTGCCTTGCAGGTGGCTGGCATCTGGAAGTCTCTTTCCTCTGTCATGCATCCACACCAGCACATCTCTGCAGAAAATTGGGAAGTGGGAGAAGAAGAACAGGATTGTTTACCCTCCCCAGCTGCCTGGAGAGCCTCGCAGACCAGCTGTAAGGATGCACCTGTGAATGCCCTCACCTGAGAATGTTGAGCAGATTGTCACTGTCTGCACAGGGTGACTGAACATGGCACTAGTTTGAAAGCTTGTTTGGTCATTATTTAGGGTTTTATTTTATCAGTTTGGCTGTGTTGTACAAGTTGATACCACTTGGAATGCTCTCCATCTCTAAATTGCATTGGAGCCTTGAGTTCCTGGGAGCTGATCACCTTCTCAGTGTGTGGTTCAAGCTGTGAGGGGCCCATCCTCTGTCTGTAGAAGTTTCTGAACTACAAGGAGGTCTAAATTGTACTGTCAAGAGCTGATATTCTGGAATTCCACTGTTAGCATTTTTCTTCATTAGGAATGGATGTGTTGTGTCTTCTGTTAGACACACTGCTCAGCAAAGTAAAAGTATTTATATCTGAAAAGAAATGAGGTTTTTTTAGGCATGTATTTTGTGAGCCATGAGCATTTATTGATTGCTTTTGTGAACATTGTGGCCTAGGACATAGAAATCCCTGCTGTGGAGTGATGCAGTGTGTGTGAAAATGCAGCTATTGACAGACTTGTTTATTAAATCAGTGTTTTACCCGATTATCAAGAGTTCCATCTCTTTCACATTTGCATTGATGTTAGATTCTACCAGCTGGTGCTGGTCCCTGCTAGCAGTAATGTTAAATGGGTCTGTGGAGGCAGCTCTTTGTGCTAATCAAACTTGAAACCCTCTTCACTTCTCGAGAGCTAATTAAGTTCATTCTGGTAATATTGTTAATTTGCTCTCCCAGTAAGTTGAGTTGACAGCAGGGTAATATTTTTAAGGCTGAATGAAGGCTTTGCTTCTAAAGTGGGGAGAATGAGAGGAAAAGATGGTGATAAACCTTTTGATTATCATTTTCAGGGACTTCTGCTTATAAACTGTTATAAGATTAAATTAAAATTTCCTGTGTGCCCATACCTTTTTTTAGTGCAATCAGTTTCAAATATCAAAGCTATGCCTGATGTGCTGTTCTCATAGTAGGCAGAGCCATTCTTATTTTATTCCTAGTAAGAAAATAGATTGTGGAGCAGACATGGATGCTCCATTCCTGTTTTCACAGCAAAATTACTCATCCTTTAACTTCCTTTTGCCCCTAGGAAATATATCACTGTCGGAGGGAAATAAAATACAGCAAAGATAAGATGTGGTATCTGGCAAAACTGGTAAGCAAAGAGTACTTTGTGCTCTACTTGAGAGAATGCAAAATTTAATTGCTGTATTTGTCTTAAGAGCCTCATTCAATCACAGTTTAATCAGCATCTTTATAGCAGAGTCCTGGGGATGAGCATGGATCTGGACAGGGAATGGCTGTTTGTACTTTGCTTTAGCAGGTATTACACTGAAGAAATGGTAATTAAGGAAATGACAGTATTTTTGTTTTTGTAATGGCAGTATAATTTAAGCATTGTCTTCTGAATCAGAGAAAGGAAATACTTGTAAATGCAGAAGTTAATTTTACCACTTTGATTGCAGATAAAAGGAATGTCCATTGATCAGGCTCTTGCTCAGCTGGAATTCAGCGACAAAAAGGGAGCAAAGGTGATCAAAGAGGTAAATAACAGTATTCTTTACCACTCCTGGTTTCCAGAAAACTTGAAAATCAATATCTGTTACCATAAGTTTGGAGGTGCTTCTACTTCTGTGGCTTTTTGTGTTTCAAGGAAGCCTGTTGGGAGCACATTCTAACAACACAGTTTTGTTGCAGTCAGGTGATGCTGTGACTTATGAATATGTTGGGGTCACCTGTGCTGGCTGTTCTAACTTGTCATGGTGATGAATTCCGTGTGGGTGTCCTCTTTAGCAGTGCTTGGTGTTAAGTTCCTGGTAAAAGGTGCAGAATCCTGGTCACTAATGGCTGCTACATCTGTGTGCTTTGGTTCTTAAACTGTAAGAGATGGAGGACGTTATTAAGGAGACGACTAAATTCTGTAAAGGCACAAAAGCTTTGAATACACTGTGGTAGTTTGAATTCTCAAATTACTCATTTTCTTGGCTGAACCATTGATTTCTGGTATAATTATGGCAAAGAAATGTCCTGTATTAGCTGAAAATATTGAATAGACCAAGTTCATTTTGGAATTTATTTCTAGTCAAATGTCTAATTACACAAAGGTCTCTGGAGAGAAGGCTGACAAATGCTGGTGGAAAACATCTTTTCCACTCCCTTTCCTCTCCAAAAATGTAATAAAATCGTCCTGAAGCTTTTTCATTCTATGCAGGAAACTTCCTTATGTAAAAGATGCTTGTCTTTTAACAGTTTTTATCTTTATAAAATACTTTTTCTGTAACTGACTTCAACTTGCAATTTCTTTCATGTTATCTAGAGATAAGAAATAGCATTCTTTAAATTCCTCCTCAGTATTTCCATTTCTTTAACTTTTTTTACAGGTTCTGTTAGAAGCACAGGAAATGGCTGTAAGAAAGCACAATGTGGAATTCAAATCAAACTTACACATAGGTACGTTTTTTAAATTTAGTGCATTAGAAAAGTGTCATCCTACCTGTGGAAATGTGTTATATTTAATAAGATTTTGATGCTTGAAATCACCAGAAGTGAATAGAGGACAGTCTCTGCTAAATTTAACTTTACCAAAAAATTAAAGGCACGTATTTGCAGCATTTCTAAGACAGATATATCCATCTCAGAGTGGAATTTCTGCTCCCTGTTGAACAGAACATCCTGAAGAGGAAGATCCTTTACACAAATCTGGAAGATTGAACAATAGGAAACAAATGGTGTCTAGTTTTTAATGTTGCCAGACAGAGATGCTGGAAGCTTTGTCTGTGACTGGTACAACTTGATTTGCAGGATCAAAGTTAAATTTCCATCAGACACAGTATAAAAGTAAATGGGTAATGACAGCAAACTTCTTAATAAAAAAGACTTGTCTGTAGATTGTTTGCAGGATTAGCTTGTAATAACTAAAGTGCTTTTTAGCCTAGAAAATGTTAGAGAAGTATTTACTCTTAGGTGTTTTGAGGGCCAAAGAAATAAATTACCATTTTGTCTAACAGGGGATAAATTTTACTCAACTGACCTCATAAGCTTAAAGTCACCTGGACTGTAGAGAAATTTGATTAGAATTCTTTGGAGCCTTCCAGGCCTCTGCTACAAGCAGGCTCAGCTGTAGTGCAGGACTGGATGTGCAGATAATGAAAATACCTGTGATGAATGCAATAAAGGGAGAAAGGAGGGAAAATGAAGTCTGTAAAGCCTTACAGGAATTCATGAGACAAACTACTGAAAGGCAGTGAAATAAATACCACCTTCAGAAGAGCTGTATAATCTAGTAAGTGCTCAGTGTGATTTGTCCTTCACCACATATTTATCTTTGTGTGCCTGCTTTCTAAATTCTCCTTTTTGGTGCTCCTGAAGAGCGTTAATGCAGCTCACGGGTTCCTCTGTAGCAGTGATCGGCTAAATGTAACAGAAGAAAGATGGAGGGGAGAATCCCAAGTAGAATTAACTTTCTAGAAGCAGCCATGAAAAACACCCTGGCAAGACAGGTGTTTTATTGCAGCTGAAGCAGTTTGTTCTTGACTGAGTAATCTTCTCTCCCCTGTCCTTTTTCCTTCAGCGGAGTCGCAGACGGGCAGGGGCCGTTACGTGAAGCGGCTGCGGTGCCACGGCAAGGGCATGTTTGGCATGATGAGGATCAGCAGGTGCCACTACTTTGTGAAGCTGGTGGAAGGTCCTCCTCCTCCCCCAGAGCCACCAAAGACTGGCTTTGAGCAAGCAAAGGAATATGTGCAGCAGCTGCGAAACAGAACCCTTGTTCACACACTGTGACATGCTTTAGTGGCTGTATAGCTATCTCGTGTTGGGCAGTGTAATTGTATAAAGGAATAATTAAAGTCATGGTTTGGTTATATCTTTGGTATTGCTGGAGCTGGATGATGTGAGAAAAATCATGGGTTTTTCCCTATTTGTCAAGTCAGGAGTATGGAAAAATCTTGGAGCAGCAGATGTTACCTTTTCTGAGTTACTTGGACCACAGCATTCAAGCTTGGCTCTGGACTGTCTAATCTAAAACACATGGTGCTGTTATAAAGCTTGGTGTCTCTGCTATGTATGGTGGGCCTTTTATTGTAAAACTATGTGCTTGATAGTTATGCTGCAAGATCAAACCTCAGACTAAAATTTGACATCTTAAAGTAGTTAGAACATTGGAAGTAAACAAGTAACAATGGACAAAACTGAGTAACAATAATATTTCAGAATATCAGACATCAATTTTTGGTTTATCTGGGCTGTAACAACCTTCGTTGTGTGTCTTGGGCATTGTGTCTGGGAGAGGGAAATAAAAAAATCCTTTGAAGTTCAGGCTTTGGCAGTCAGTAGGTGGCAATATTTAGTTTGTCAAAGAGGAGGTAGCAGTGAAAACTTCCAGAATGGTCAAATTCTTTTGGATTTTGCCCGTGGCATTAATACTCTGATAGATGCATGGAGTTCAGGGTGTTCCCTCTGGAAATTCATTGTAGGTAACAGGTAAAATATGGAGAAAAGCTGTTTTGGTGAAGAGTGAACTAATTCTGCATTGTCTGGAAACAAATCGCTTGTGTAACATTGAGGAAAGTGGATTTAATATAGAATGGCTTGTTGCATATACAAATCAGCTTTCAGTTCTTTGAAAACAATCCCATTTTTATCATTACTTCTCTGAAGAGAAGAAGACAGATCGATAGGGGGAATCTCATTTTGCTCAGTCAGATTTTCAAATCAAGATGGTCAGAGTCAAACATCAGCATAAAAACAGAATGAGCAGCTGCTTGTACATGCAAATGTCTGATATTTAGACCTTTCTTTTCTATTCTGGGAACATTGGAGTGGGAGATAGCTTGCTTACCTCACTTGGGTCCTTTTACTGCAACAACTCATGGTAGCTTTTCTTACATGTGTTTATTTTGATCAGTATTGGACGATGGGGAAGGGACAGTTCCTGTAAGGAAACAAGTTATTTTTATTGTCTTTACAAAGGTTGGTACAGAGTGATTTCTTTTGGCTACTGAAGAAAGGGTTTCATGATGTTTAGAGTATTAGGGGACAGTGAAGTTACACAAGAAGCACATTGAGAGCTCAGTAGTATTAATGGGAGAATATTTGCAATCTGGTTCTCTGCAGTGCACTTTCAAACACATTTCTTGCTGTAAAGCCACGATTTAGTAACTTGCCTGAAAGGTGTGTTCTGATAAAACCCTCTATCTCTGCAGTCCCTGATGTGTGTTTGAAGAACTGTTTCTGTTGTACTGTGATAAACAGCTGTGCTGGGCTCTGCCAGCTGCCCTTACACTCCTCTGTCACAGTGAATCTCTTACAAGTTCTAGCAAACTTAAATTGTTTATAATCTTTTTGGGGATCACTGATCTGGGAGAAGACTAAAGAATTGCAAAATAATCCAAATTTAATAAGCACTCACATATATTACACTTAGACACATGTAAATATCTAAAACCTGGCTCCTAGATATTTTATTCCAGTACCTATTTCTCCTGCATGCTGTAGATTTTGCTTCAGATCTTTTCTGGACCTCCAGAGAAGGCTGTATCCTTAGAGATACCATTACTCTGGTTATGAATCCACACACAGAGAGAAGTGAGAATGTGACTGATGAATTTTCTAGCTTCTTTATGATTTGCAGGTGGCCCTGAAAGTCCTTTAAACAAACAGACCTGGGCTTTAAAAGTTTTTCAGCTTAAAAGCAAGGTTGTTGCTTGTTCTTGTTTTCTTCCTCAAGACAGTAAGTGGGAAAACTAATTTTTGGCATGTTTTTAGTATTCTGTGCCTTGGTAGCATTTTCTGCTGTCTTCAGCATGCATAACCCAGAGTTGATCTTTATGGTTCTGGCTAAGGAAGCTCCACAGCTGTGTCTGTGACAGGAGTGATGGGAGATTGGGGGAGTTGAGGAGGCAGGGACCAAGCCTTTCTGTGGTAGGGTGGTAAGAATGTCGAGTGGTTTCTGTGGTTGGTCCATCAGAATGCTGGGAACCTGAACCTTTTCCATTTCAGTGAGATCTAGTGACGCAGCTTTATGCTGGTAATTTCTATATGTAATTGTATCTTTATAAATTTTAGAGGTTTGATTCTACTGTGCTTTCATGGTAATTATAGTACATCGGCACTTCAGGTGTGTGATACAGATTCAGACACAAAATTCCATGCTAACTGCAATAAGCCTTTAGCAGATCATTTATTATAAACAATTGTTTTAAAATGTTGTCAGCAGAAGGGATGGAGAGGCAGTGAGGCCTCTACTTGGTGCTGATTTCATGAGTAACATCTGGGGGCACTGTAAACTCACCACTGGTGTGTGTTTGTGCTGGTGGTACAGAAACAGCAGAAGGAGCAAGTTCTTGTGAAGGTGTTAGTGAGGCTTCAGGGAAATCTGAAGGGAGCAGAACTGTGAGCTCTGCTCAGCAATGTGAGATTTCACTGAGGAGAAACTTGTAAACCTGCTGTTGGGCTTGTTCATAAACATTTTGAAGTATCCAGTGAGAAAGTAGTACTTTAGTCAGGCAGCCTGATATCTTTATGGATGTGTGTGGTTGGTTGTTTTTTCCTTTTTAAGACTTCTGGGCAGTTGTTAATGAAGTGGTTCATCAAAAGTAGAGTAAGAAGTGCTCACGATTGTAGTTAAAAAATGATCATCATCCTTTTTAAACATGAAAGATAAATGAGAGTGTGTAGTTGGTGACTGGACAGTTGGGTACTGCTGGTTCTGGCCAGGTGTGTGCTGGGCACTGCTCTGGAGGGTTGCATTGGGGCTCAGCTGGTACCTGGGCACTGACAGGTGTGTTCTGCTGACAGTGCTTCAGCTGTGTTGTGTACCTGGTGTGAACTTGGCTCCAGCAAGGTTGTGCAGTACAAATCCTGTGATCCCCTGTTGGCACAAACAGGAGCTGTGTGACAGTCCTGTCTCTGCGCTGTGCTGTCACTTGGGAAATCCTTTAGTCACTGGAGTGAAGGAACAACAGGAATCACTGCTTCCTGCCAGTCCCTCTGAGAATCCACTGCTGGGATGCTGGAAAGTAATTTGCAAACACAATTCTGCTTTGAATAGAAATAAGGTTGCTCCTAATGTCCTCAGTGAACTACAGAAACAGAGTGTGACATTCCCCAGCACATGAGCTGCAGTCCTGCTGGAAAGGCCCCTAGTTCAGGCTCTTCAAAGAACAAGCCTTTATTGCTGAGTGACATCTATCCAGCAGCACTTCAGCCATTTAATTTAAAATATTTAAAAGCTGAACAAAGTAAGAGCCTGTAATGGCAGAAATTATCACACAAGTTGTTTGCTGGAGCCTTACATAACTAAAATGACTTGAGGAGAAAGTTTCAGGGAATGACTTTTGAGTACTTAGACTGAAGTAAGGAGCAAGATATTTCTTGGGAATAGTCAGTAAATGCAGAATTTATTTTGTATTTACTCTGTAACATCAACCCTCTTTGCTTGTTTCAAGGAAGTTGTAAATCAGTACAGAGGGCAGGCTGCCATTGAAGGAGAGCCTAACTCTACCTTGGGCAGATTAGACACTCACCTCAAGAGTATTAGCTGAGGAAATGAACCTAAAAGTCTACACTTGAAAACAATGACAAAATGTGGGGCAGAGCATCTGAATAACTTCTGGATTTGGGTTGGTGCTTGTGTGTATTGCACAGCAGTGCAGCCACCAAGGGTTGTGTGGTAAAGGACCTGTGGCACCCATGATCCAGCTCTCAGGGCTTTTCTGTTTACGCTCCTTTACTGCTAAGAGTTTGTCTACTATGTGGGTGACAATTTTCTATCCTAATAGAAAAGTGCAAACCAGTTTTCTGTCTTCTGTTATTAATCAAATTCTGATGCCAGCTAAGAGTGGAGTAAAGGCATTTGTACATGATGTTGTGGGAAACTCCATTCATGTGTGCAGCTAATAAGCTGGGAAATGTGTCTACAACTCTCCTATTGATTATTACCTTCAGAGCAAGATAAACATTGGTCCTTACTGCATGCTGGCTGTGTAAATGAAAACTTTATTTAAATGGAAGCAGAGTGAGATGCACTACACTGGGCCAGTACAGGATTGCTGTTCCAAACCAGCTCCTCTTGATGCCCAATTCCTTCCCTTCTTTTTTCCCCACTTAAGATTCCCAACAGTGCATTAAGATGAACTCAGTAGTTAGTAAATTTTCCCCTGTGTAGTTTACAAGCTCAAGGTTATGGGCTAGAACAAGGAGTGTCATGCTATAAATCAGGTGTAATGAAACAGCTTGGGAGAGTGCACAGGAGTCCTTCCCCTCACACTGTGTTTGTCCAAAAACTCTGAAGGGAGAGCTGGCATGAGCCCAGAAACCCCCACAAGTGGCTGATTAAATAATTAATAATAAGTCTCGTGCTGCTGCCCTCTCTCTTGACAGGTGAATATGACAAGACAATTTTAATTTTCTAGACCAAGGTGTATCTAGAAAAATTTGAGTGTGAAACAACCAGAACTAGGTGCCCTTAGGAGGGGAAGGTGGACTCCAAAGTCAGTGAAGGGAAGGGGCAAAATTATTTACTTTGGGCTGATTGGAGTCAAGAGCAAGAATCAGAAGTTTGGTGCAGTTACACCTCTCTTACCTCCAAAAGTCAGTGGAAATTTCTGAGATCAAGGCAAAACCAACTCAAATATTGGCTGAGTAGCCAGAAGTGTCTGCATTTGTCTCTAGTATGTCACACTTCATCGCAGAAATTCCCAGCTGTTCTCATCAAGTCCAAGGTGTTTCAGAGATACTCTTTATTTTCCTTTTACTCTTATTATCTGTCTCTTTAGGGGGCCTGTACTCACTGCTTTTGTGGGGATGGATGCTTGGAAAGCAATTATTGTTCATCTTCTCCATCTGTTCTGATGCTGGATATGCCTGTCTTTTTGAAGGCTTTCAGAGTCTGTGCTGGGAATGCATTTCTCTTCCTAGTGTTGAGAGATTTGTATTTTTAATGGGTATTTGTTTTATCTATCACATGCTAGATTTATTCACTTGATAATCTCTCAGCAACACGGGTAATCTTCTCGTGTCCTGATCTAGTATACAGGGATTTTATTCATTTAATAGTTTGGCTTTGGGCTGAGATAGCCATGAGAGGCAAACCCTGGTGTGTGCTGAGTGTGCTCACCCCCCAGAGCAGCAGGGACTTGCAGGGAGCTGCAGCTGCTCTCAGGGTGGTGCTCTTAGAAGCTTTCTTTACACATGGAATGTATGAGTAAGTTATGTGTGGTGCACATCTTTCCTTCCCAGACCATGCCCTTCTTTAATATGATTTCTTGCTGATAAGGGAGGCTTCTCAATGGAATTTTTGCAATGATTGCCTGTGT